TATGCACCATTCATGAAACTTTATTTACACTACATCTCCTACGGCAAAACGCCAGCGATGTCCTCACGCGTCAGTCACAAAGATTAATCGTGTGTAAAATATTCTTTATGGGATCGACTGGCAGTGACTGGATATTACTGTGATTCTATGTGCCGACAGCCAACGGCTAACCCAGACTGGAACAAGCCCAGACACACCCAAAGCCCATTAATAACTGGCACAACAGCCATCAAGCGTGTGCCCACCCAGCTGTACCCAAGTGCTGTTTGTGCCTGAACATCACATGATTAATGTAAAGACACATTTCATTCTCTTTTAGCTCTGATTTTGGTCTCCGCCGACTCCTGAGAAACATCCAACTCTCTAGCTGCTAAGAGCTCCACCGTGCTCACCAGCTGGTCTGGACTGTGTGTCTGTGGTTTGCTGCTGAGCAGACAGAGGCTTTTCAGAACCAGAACAGTAAAGACGTGCGAGGATTCAGGGGAACCACAGAGCAGAGCAATCATTTAAAACAACACAGGACAGTGCAGCTTTAAGGGAAATCGTCCTCAGCCTAATGAATAGTTGTTCCTTAAGCATCTAATACGTTCCCACTTTGAAACTCATCATTTCTACTGATAGATCCACTACAGACTATATGGGTCAAGGAGGGATAAATAGTCATAAATCAGCTACAAACGAGGACAGATATGAGCATACATACATTACACACCTGCTCATTAGAGATGAAACTCCAGAGTGTATTAAAATGTAATTGAGGCCATCTAACTGCATGTTTAATATTTCAAACCATTTTCATAAAGAAAGTCATAAAAGCAAATAAAGCCAAGCCCACATTTTCCAGCTTTAATCACTTCCTCGTCGTCTCTCGGGAGGAAAGTCGTGCTCCTCCTCCTTCAGCTCACTACTCTGTCGTCCCGCTCTCTCTCCTCCTGCATTAAGATGATAGTGATAGACTTTAGTCCACATTGCTGCTGTGGCTGGATTGAGGACAGAGCCCCTCACAGAGCAGTCAGGGTGAACACTGATTGTGCATTTTCATGTTATTTCTCGTTTCTTTGTTGCCAGACTCGTCTTTTCTGTGTCTCTTACTTTCCTCCTGGTTTTCATTCCCCGCTGCACATGTCCCAGAAGCTTGCACATGCAAAATGTATCTGCACAAGTGTGTTTTTGATGTGTTTGTGCACTTGCGATGGCTCTAATTTGTGCTACACGCTGCTAAGCAGAAAGAGAATATTGATTTTATGGCATCTCACATCATTAAATACCAGTCTGATTCAAAGTACTACACTGCAGCTCATCTCACACCGACGCTTCTCATTCACTCAGATTTCTGCTGGAAAATTAGAGCCTGAAGACACACACACGGTTTGTGTCTTCATTCTGAGGCTTCACAAGCAAAGCACCCACACGCTATAACTGGAATCCACTTCGACATGAGCTCTTGTGTCAATGAGTGATGAATGGAAGTATTTTAAGTTTTCAAAGCGCACAGGAGGCCGATAACCATTGTACAGTAGATCAGCAGCCACACAAACACACGGTGCAAGTGGCCTGCTGTGTCTGTCAGGGCAGCTCGTCACCCCGACGGATCATCCATCCATGATCCATACCACTTATCCCTGAATAGGGTCATGGGGGCTGGAGCCAATCCCAGCTGACACTGGGCGAGAGGCAGGGTCCACCCTGGACAGGTCACCGGTCTGTCACAGGGCTGACATGTAGACAAACAACCACACTCACTCCTATGGGCAGTTTAGTCACCAGTCAACCGGAGCTGCATGTCTTTGGACTGTGGGAGGAAGCTGGAGAGAAACCACGCAGAGAGAACATGGAGACTCCACATAGAGAGTTGAATCCCCACATGCCGTGCACATCCTGAGACAACTGAAGTGTAACTGACAACTTTTCAGTCAAGACCTTTCTGAAGACATCAATCCTTATGTCGAACAACTTTGTTATGAGACCAACACGTTTCAGCTTACGACCTTCATCAGCACATAATAAAGAACATTTAAGTAGTGTGATGTGAAAAAAGGCTGTAAAAACCAACCACTCACATACAAACACACATCAGCCAATAAACCATGCACATAGGTGGGTTGGGTACGGGGTCACCTGGTTATAGGCCAATCACATGTGGACAAGTGCAGAGGAGGGATAGTGGTTATACTGGTAGAAGGATGTTGGAGATGGAGCTGCCAGGCAAGAGGTCAAGAGGAAGGCCAAAGAGGAGATATATGGATGTGCTAAAAGAGGACATGAAGTTAACTGGGGTGAGAGTAGAGGATGCTGAGGATAGAGTTAGGTGGAAACAGATGATTCGCTGTGGTGACCCCTAACGAGAACAGCTGAAAGAAGAAGAAGAAGAAGAAGAAGAAGACATTCTCAAACAACAAGGCAAAGGGTGTTTCTGGTAGCAGACACAGGTGGCACCATACCTGGTCTACATGGAAGAGAATGCACACATGGGGTGGAGCCGTGGCGCTCCCTGTAGGTATCTACCCATTTGTATGTAGTAAATTTCTAAGTTAACTCACAAAACAGCACAGATGTGCCCAAACAACAACAAAAACAACAAAACACAGAGAAAAACATGCTAAAATGAACATATTCCAAATCAGGACAAGGCTAGTGTGGCTGTAGCAGCTCATCAGTTGGTCACTAGGTCCCCAGGCGCCTCACAAAGACACCGATGGATTTCACTTTCTGACATGAGCAGGTTGTTAGCATGTTTCCTACTGCCGGCCTGATTCTTGATGCATTATATCTCCTGTAAACCCAACACTGATAGTGGGCAGGAATTCAACCTTCGACTCTCTCACTCAGGCTAATCAGCACTGCTGCAGTGAGAAAGATGAAGATGAAGAAGCTCGGATGACCTGATGATGATTTCATGATCCAAGAATGGCCTAGAGCACCAGCAGCAGCACTTGGGTGCTTCTCCTACTTCACTTGCACACAACTTGCAGGAAAAGGCTGAACACACCAAACCTAAACATACAAACCGGCATCGTTTACACTGGATTATACAGGATAAACGTAAGGCGCCTCTTCTCCTCTCATCACAGCTGTTAGCAGCGTAGCAGCCGACCGTATGACCTTATCAGTTAACACACTAACTGGATGAGTTCTGCCGTCTCTACAGCTTGATCCACCACTTCAAGATCAGGGCTCAGGCTCTGCCTGTGATCTCTGAGCCAGAAACAGATTTGGTTAGGTGTTTAATCCCATGCCAGGTCACACCACCCACTCAGTAGATGGAGGAGGATTTAAAACATCGGCCAACTGCCTTGTCAGACATACACACAGTGGGAAGGGTTACACGCATCACCCTTCATACAGAAAAACAGAAGTGTTAGCCGCTCTGGGAGGCTGCTGTACAAATAAGAACAGAAACCCCAAAGACACTCGGTCCACTGTGATGAATCAAACAATGTTCTACAACCCCAAGAAGTTGGGACGGTCTGTAAAATTAAAATTTAAACTGACAACAGTGACGTGTAAATCATCTGTGTCCTGTATTACACTGGAAAAGACGTCGTCCTGAAGGCAGCATGTGTTGATCCAACATCTCTCTGTGTTGTTCAGTATTAATGGAGCCATCACAGAAGTGTGTGACCTTTGCCCCGGGCACTGACACGACCCCAGACCATGACAGACCCTGGCTTTTGGACTTGTTGCCGGTAACAGTCTGGATGGTCCTTTTGGTCTTTGGTCTGGAGCACACGGCCTCCATTCCTTCCATAAAGACCTGAAACACTGATTGGTCTGACCAGAGTGCACGTTTCCACTGTGTGATGGTCCATCCCAGACGCCTCTGAGCCCAGAGCAGTCGACTTCTGGACACTGCTGACACAGGGCTTCCTTTGGCACAGCACAAGTTTAAGCAGCACTTCTGGATGTAACTACGTATTGTAGTGGCTGACACAGGTGAGGCACAGTAATCCTGAGCCCATGTGGTTATATCGCTGATAGAAGAGTGATGAGCCTTGATGCGGTGCCGTCTGAGGGATCAGAGAGCTCGGTCACCCAGCTCAGGCTCGGACCTTTACACACTGAAACCCCTCCAGAGCCCTTGAACCTTTTAATGACGCTCTGCACCGTGGAGGGCGACACATCCACATCCTTCCTGTCTTTCTTTGAGGAACATTGTTTTAAACATTTCAATCATTTTCTCACACATACTGTACGTTAACAAACTGACGGTCCTCGGCCCATCTTTGCTCCTAAAGGGCTCGGCCTTTCCTGGATGCTGCTGTCGTACCAGATCATGATGCAGTCACCTGTTGACATCACCTGGTTCACATGGAATCATCATTTCATTGTATGACCTCATCACTGGCCCTGAAATGCATCTGACCAGACTTTGTCTGGAACGTGTTGCAGCATCAGGACTGAAATGTTTATTTTGAATAAAGAATAAAACTGATGGTGTCACGTTAAACAATGTGCTGCTGTGTTGTTTTCAGTGTGATAAGGACACAGATGACTCACACATCACTGTTTTCAGTTTTAATTTTGATTTCACATCCCAACTTGTTCTGATCTGGGGTTGGATCAATAGTTGAATCAATTAGTGCTGCTTTTAGAATTCTACTTGGATGAAGGAACAGTCTGATCACAGAGAACTAACCTACATGTCACTGTGGTCTGTGTCCCCATGGCTGTTGATCATGTCTAGTCGGCTCTAGCTCAGTGTAACGCACGGAGTTGTTGTGTAACTCGTTCAGTGGCCTGTGTGATTGTCACACAGTGTGTAGTGATGACTACACATGGCTCACACTGTGATCTTACTGCGACTTGTTCAGCTTTGTGGAATGTTTCCCCTCCTGTATAATCCTACTGCAGTGTCTTTCCTAAATGCGGACTAGAAACGGATTATCTTTAACAAACTGTCCGTGCGCGCTCTGACTGTGTAAAGATCCCTGTTGATCCAAACGGCGCCTGTCAACCATCCAACCACATCCCGCTGAAACTCTGGGGCAGAGTTCACTCACCTTCTTCCGGGGCTGCCATTTCATCATATTTGTAAAGCATCAAAGTGTCACAGCAGCCGGAGT